CATTGTTTTGGACTAGCCTCCTACACTAGGCACTAGCAGACCAGGCCAAACCAGAATGGAGTCACTCATGCCAGTTGCCACATAAGTAAACTGAACTCTGAGACAGGCCAATCCACCCCAACCCTGCTATAAAAACAAAACAAAACAAAACAAAAAAACAAAAAAAACCTCAGGAGATTCACAGCAATGAATCAAAAGGGGCCCAGTTTACCTGAGCTGGCATGAAAATGAAGTTCCCTCTGTTTTTTGTTGTTTTTTAATTTTTAAATTTTAATCTATTTATTTATTTAGAGACTGATTTTATTAAATCGCTTGTCTTTCTGAGTTTCATGGCAGAGTTTTTGGTTTGTTTATATTCATTCTAAATAGATATTTAGGATGTCAGATTCTGACCTCATGGATTCAGAGCTTACAAGTCCCCTGGTCTATCATGGGACTGTGCATATAAGGAATAAAAAATCATGTTTAAAATAAATGATTTTGTTATAAAGGAATATAGTTATGTGCCCAAATACGGAAACACTCTCATTAATAACTGGTCATAGTCCTGGTGGGTGTGATTCTTTTAGGTTTGGACTCTTTTAGGTTTGTACCTTGACTGAGAGAATTTCCAGTTGCTGTCTCCTTTCTGGACAGAAGTTCCAGATGATCTGAGGGGCAGGGACTCAGGCTGTGTCCCCTGGGGGTTCTGGTCCGAGTCGTTGGGACCCCTGGCAGGGTGCAGCAACCCACGATGCCTGTGTCTGTTTTAACCCTATCAGGAAAGTAACTGAAACAAACTATTTTTTGTTCTCTGTTTCTGCTTTTCTCAGCCCTTTTCCATCTGTAAAACCAAACTCTTCTGCTCAGCTTATCGGAACACTCACTGTATTTTATAGAATAAGGCACTGCCCCATTCTAGAATCACAAAGAAAAGCCAATATAGATCTAATTTGCTATACCTTTCAAGAATTACTTTTAAGCTTTGATAGGCAGGTCCAGAATAGCTGTTAAGTGTTGGCCTCAGTACTGAGATACTCTTCTGTGATGCTCTGTGTATTGGAAGGTCTTTCTGTTCTCGCTGGTGGAAATACCAATTATTCTTGGCCCTGTGTCAGCTCCAGAATTGTTCTGCCTGATCCTTTCAGGTGATCTTTCCTGCATTCAGTTCCAATAATTTCTTCATAGCATCACTGATTCGTACTTAGCTGATAGTCTGTGTGTTGTGTGTATGTGTGCGCGCACACACGCGTGTGTGTGTGTTTTCTTTGAGTGATCCCAGCTTACTGCAGTCTTTACTTTCCTGGGTGATTCTCCCACCTCAGCCTCCTGAGTAGCTGGGACTATAGGCATACACCACCACACCTGGCTAATTGTATTTTTTTGTAGACACAGGGTTTCGCCATGTTGCTCGGTCTGGTCTCCAACTCCAGGGCTCAAGTGGCTTGGCATTTTAAAGTGCTGGGATTACCCCGCCTCAGCTGATATCTTGAGGAAAACTTCCTGCAAAGGTCTGGAACTATCTCCGACAAATAAAAAACAAAACAAAAAAGAAAAGACAAAGATAAATAAACAAGGTCTGGAATTTTTGTTACCATCTCTCTCTCTCCTCTCTTCTCTCTCTCTCTCTCATACTCTGCCCCATGAATCATGCCTGCCTTGTGCTCCTTGAACCCTGAACTCTGTCTCCCCAACTCAGGGAGACTGTTGAACCCTATTTAGGTACTTATTCCCTGTACAGCAGCCTAAAGGTTCCCTCCAAGTTGGGGCAACCACAAGGCTCACCCCATTTGATCCTTTTCTCCGAGGATCACTGTCCTGCACCGCTAGTTTCCCAACGTCTGGCATTTTAGTTGTTCAATGCAGGAATAGAAGTCTGTTACTCCATAATGGCCAGAAGCAGAAGTCATCAGGATTTTTGTTTGCTTTTACCCTCCTCAGGTTAAAATTCTAACATGCAGCCAAAGTTGAGAACCACTGAGTCTATTGTAATTCCAGCTTCCAAGTTCTAGCCATTGCTGCCCTGCTGCACGCCCCCGCCAGTGCATCTACTGTTGCTTCTCAAATCATGTCGGTAAACTCTCCCTGCCTTCTACCTAAAGCCAGGAGAAATGGCATGTCATTCTAGTATTTGAAACTTATTACTACTCTCCTAATTTCCACGAGTGGTAGTCTATGTGAAAGAGACAGTAAACATCCTGAATTACAATCAAACATGTTATTGGCAAATAGAAAGAGGAAAGAAAACTGGGCTGAGGGGATTTTTATTGAACTATCATGTTCTTAAATAGGGCTGCAGGGCAAAGAGACAAGCAGGACTTTATCGTAACCAAATATATTTTCCTGATAATTGTGGTAAAAATGTAAGCTAAATTAAACAAACCAATCAACCTGCTCCTTATCAGCAGTAAAATTCGCAGTAAAGGCAGCTCAGAGTCACTTCCTATGAGTCCTCCTGGGTGAACAGGAAGCACTGACATTTCCTGAGTACGCCGCACATTTCTACATGCATCGTCTCCTTTTATCTTCACAGCGCTCTGAGTCGGATACTGTCTCTGCTTAAACATGTGGGAAACTGAAATTGAGGGGATAGGGAACTCATGAAACTCACACAGCTTGTAACAGAAAGGTAAACAGTCTGTTTTCAGAGTCTGTGTCCTTTCCTTCTGCCTGACAATAGCTGTCACCAGTAGCCCCAATGCACATTTTTTAAAAATAAAATTTTTCTTAAAATGTAACATACCTAGAGAAAAATGTAAACATTTTAAGTGCAGCTTGATGAATTTTCTTTTTCTCTTTTTTTTTTTTTTTTTTTTTGAGACGGAGTTTTGCTCTTGTTGCCTGGGCTGCAGTGCAATGGCATGGTCTCAGGTCACTGCAACATTCTCCTCTCAAGTTCAAGTGATTCTCCTGCCTCAGCCTCCCAAGTAGCTGGGATTACAGGCGCCTGCCATCACGCCCGGCTAATTTTCGTATTTTTTAAAAATAGAGACAGGGTTTCACCACATTGTCCAGGCTGGTCACGAACTCCTGACCTCAGGTTATCCACCCACCTCGGTCTTCCAAAGTGCTGGGCTTACAGGCATGAGCTACCATGCCCAGCTGCTTGATGAATTTTCACAAAGTGAACACATCTAACCAGCACCCAGACCAAGAAATGAAACAACATAGGTTTCCTAAAAGCCTCCTCACCTATGGCCTGCTTTTGATTGAGGAGCTCTGGCCCAGAGGTACTTGGGGTCCCTTAACTTGGGGTCCGTGTGGCCTTCTGAGATCCATAAATCCCCTGAAATTATAGGCAAATATATTCCTGAGATGTAGTACTTTGGAGAATCTGATGAAAGCCCTACATCTTCTCAGGAATATATTTGTACTGCTGATAGGGAGCAGTACAAATTCAACATCTGCTACACCAGAGCCTGGGCTTTTTTCTGCTAGACCAGGATGACTTTGGTAATATCAAGTTGCCCAACTTCTGCTCAGAACAAGCTGAGCTTGAAATACCGGGCTGAACAGGAAATAAGAGTAAAGTCAAAAGCCTAGGCCTTTTTTCCGCCCCCCAATTTCCTTCTAACCAATGAAAAATCATTGCGCAGGGGAAAGCACCGCCTCTAAAAGACGCACTTTGCCTTTAAGAGGTGTGGCAGCATTGTAAGTTTTCTCAAATGGGAGTTATTATCTAACCACAAACCAACCGTCTGTCATTACACTGCACTTTAGAGGATGTCTATGATTGGCTGGCAAAGAGAGCAATATTTGAATTTAAAGAAAAGACCAAAACAACCAAGGTTCATTACTTGGTTCATTAACAAGGTTCAGTGAGAAAGATAAAGCTTCTTGTCAGAGAAAACACCATCTGGAGTTAAGAGATTAGGCACTAAAACTCTGTCCTAGGGTAAAACCTTTGTCATTATTCTCAGTAACTGGTATTATTACTGTTAATTTCATCAAGAAATCAGCCTCTATTTTAAGTAAAACTCAGTGAAAAAGATGTAAAAACCATGCAAAGGTGCTTCGTAAACTGCAAAAGATTACAAAAATGCCACTAAATACAAATATTTAAAGCTTCAATTAAGAACAATTTCTAGAAAGCAAAATTTGCCTGTCTATAAAGATTATACCGGGGAAGGAGAAGAATCAGAAGCCACAATTTTTTTTTCCATTTTTTTTTCTACTTTTTGGTTTTATTTTTGAAGCCATAATTCTTGATGCCTACTTTCACTAGGTCACATGTAGAGTTGTTTTCTGTCCTTTTTCCCCTCTGCTGTTCCACCAGACCACTAAATGCTAGACTGTTATGTATCTTCAGGCATAAATGATAAACATAAAAAAAGTAGGTCCGACTTTTAATAGAAAATTAAACCATGGTCTAATATAATAGAGTGAAAAACTGCATCCTTTCGTGTATTTTATTTTTTTGAGATGGAGCCTTACTCTGTCACCCAGGCTGGAGTGCAATGGCGCGATCTCGGATTACTGCAACCTCTGCCTCCCAGGTTCAAGCGATTCTCCTGCCTCAGCCTCCTGAGTAGCTGGGATTACAGGCACATGCCACTGCGCCCAGCTAATAATTTTTGTATTTTTAGTAGAGACGGGGTTTCAACATCTTGGCCAGGCTGGTCGTCTCGAACTCCTGACCTTGTGATCCACCCGACTCGGCCCCCCAAAGTGCTGGGATTATAGGCGTGAGCCCTTTCATGTATTTTATTTTATGCTGAGTCTGAGCTGCATCCTCAGCTTAACGAAATAGAAGTATAAATGAATAAAAAATTCATCTCCAGCAATACGAGTTCTTCTTGTATGCAAAGCAAATACAGTAAGACAGCATAAAAATTTTAGAGAACTTGAAATGCTGATCCTCTAATGCAATCATCTTTTCCTTGGCAATCACTTCTACTTCAGAAAGACTCATTTAATAGGTAAGTCTGAAAAATACATTGTTTCAGATTTTATACCCTCTATTTTATGCTCATGAAGTACTACAGAACTACTCACAGAGACACTAAAGCAGCAACGTAGAATTTTCAGGGTTTTTTTTTTGTTGTTGAAACTCACTTTATTAAAAAAAAAAGTCATGAACAATAAATTACAATCATTTTCCCCTTTTATAAATTCTTCATAAAATATATTTGACAATTTTAACAGAAAATTTCAAAAGTTGCTTTCATTTCTGAAGTGCTGATGACTTATTTTTTGACCATTTTGTCATGCTGGTGAATTATTTTGTAGCTGCTACAATAGTTTGATTGATAACAATTTACAATTAAAAACAACAACAACAAAGAGAAAAAACAGACCAGCAGAAAGAACTATTCTGTGTGCTATTTATCTGACACTTAACACTTACTTCATCATAATGACAAAGTATCCCTTAGCACCAAAAAATCTACAGGAACCCCATCTTTCTAAGTGACAACTAGTGCAAAATAACATTCTAGGAACTAACTGTACAACCCCATATTTTAACTGGCCACAGCTGCCTATAAGCTTATTTGAAATATTTGGTCTTTTTTCAATTAAGACAAATTTCAGAAAACACTATAAACCATGGCAAGAGACTCTATGAGGAATAAGTGCTTATTGAGTACCTATTATGGGCAAGGCACTGTGCACAAAGTTTTGCTTTCATTTTTCCTCTAGCAAATATCCACGTATCTCCAAATATCACTAATCATCTTTTCTTACTCCTGGCTGGAAAATTGTCATTTTATCAACTAACCTTTAGTGCTGAACACACAGTAGGTACTTAATAAATACCTCTGACTGAAAGAACAAAGACAAAGAATTTACTATCATTTTGCTTGGCTATTTTAGAATACAAGGACTTGAGAAAATTCCAGAAGAAAACTTCCTGATCACCTCATATACCCTTATCCCCAATGAAAGAATTTCATTTCACAGGTAAAATCTTTCCAAATAAATGATAATCATTAACTATTTTAAATGAGGCAGGACCAAAAACCATGTGCTTAGGAAACTGTGGCTGCAAGCACATAGATATTTGAAGATCAAATAAAGCGTGGGCATACCATCATCTATGAATCTCTGCTGAAGTACCACGTTACTGACTAGAGGTTATCACGATGCTTTTTCTTACTCCCTATAGCTCAACTTCCTTGGACATATCTTTCAAATTAAACTAATCTGGTGATTCAGAGGGTCAATTATCATGAGGGTCCAGTGTGTTTCCACCTCTAATTTCCAAAAGAATTCTAATACTTGTTAGCTTGAAAGTGATGTTAAAAGTATGAATTTTCATTTTAAGAGGCTTTATTTCAATAAAACCTTTTAGTCCAAATTTTAGACTTCCAGATCAAGTAACACTGAAATTTTATGTACTGCAATTTTTTGTGATGTTTTACTATTTCCTCTGAACACATTTTAAACAGGGAAAAAAATCATAACAGCAATATTCCAAAAGTTGTGGAAGTTCAAAAAAGCTGAGATTGTGCAAGCTATCAATAATTTCAATATTCTAATACTATTTTGTCTGACTTTTGACCAAAAATTCTAGTGCTTTATAAAGATTAACTTAGATACAATGTAAAGTCTATTTAACCTTAAAGGCTAATGATCTGTTTTAGGAAAGCATTCTTTCCTCTAGATTTTAACTATCTGCATTTACAGGAAAACAAGTTGTAGACAACCATACAAAGTTAAAATTAAACTAACTTCAAGAGGAATAATGGTCTGTTGGTTTTTGACATAGACTATACCAGTGATTGTATAAAAAGGATAACTTTTCTACTTGAAAAGTAGTTGATGCCACAGTATTTTATCCATTTGCCATGCTGTATATGTATCTTCTCCCACTTTAGGTAAAGGTGATCAACATTTACAACAACCATATTACTACCATTATTGTCTCAAATCAGACAAGAGAAAACAGCATCAGTGCCTAGAATGAAAGGAACTCCAGTGACTCAACAAGTGACCATATCAGGGCAGGCAATGTGAGGGTAGAGCTCATTTGGTTTCTTCAACTTCAGTATAAAGAGGCTTAGACAAAGTCTTGAAACCAAAAATATATCAAGTATTACAGTTCATACATAGCAAAGTTTTCAGAAACAAAACAATCCTGTATTCAGATTTATATCAAACTGTAGAAGTTCAAGTGCAAACATCCCAATGCAGTGGTTTAGTTGGTTAAATAAATGCTCAGTTACCTAAAGAAGGTCGGACTGAATCACCAATGTCCTTGCCAACTTACTACCATATGACTGCATGACTAATTCAACTCTTGCAGCTATAGGGCACTGGAGAGCTCAAACATACTTCAGCAGCTTTGGATCACTTAATTTCCTTTATGTTTTACCAGACAATTTTAGACCCTCCAAAATGATGCCTTTAAAAAAAAAAGCTGTATATTACAAAAAAAAAATTAATATGATTTCATTACAGGAGGGGAAGAGTAGGAAGATGAGGGAAGGTTTGTTTATTTTTCATCACTGCTTTCATCAGCAAATCTCAAAAACCCAAACCTACATCAAATAATTTAAACAGACGCGGCATTTTTTTTTCATATGGAATGCAAAATGCGCACATTCACATACTTACATATACATAAATATATACATATATGTTTCCTTTACAAAGTTTCAAAGGTTGCATTACCAGCATGCAAACCTCTTCTCCCATGGAAATCCCTAATACTGATAAGGAATGTCTAAAATACTTAGAGACATATTTCCAGAAAACTGGACTCTCTTCTCTTCTTGGCTCTTAGAGAATTTTCCTGCCAAACTTCTACCAATAATCATTTTTTAAAAATTTACACCCACATTGGTAATACACATTTGAAACATACTAATAAAACGGCCAACTTGGATTTAAGAAAAATGAGGAAAAAAAAATCCCACAAAATCTAAACCCTTAGAAGGTGGAGTCTAGCTTTTTATATTCTTTTTCAGCCACATAATGTTGCATCACTGTTAAACAGAAGCAGCATATCATCCATGATATTTGCAAATAATATGTGTCACGTTTCCCAGCTGCTATCTTTAAATGCAATTTGTACTAATCTGAGTTCTAGTTCAAAAGCATCTGGACGATCCTGAGGGTTTGCAGCCAGCATTTCCTTAATCAGTTGTTTCATTCGCCCATTCATGGACTTTTTCTTCACAGGAATGAGAAGTTCCATTTTGGGATTTTCCAGAAGTGCCTCCCCAACAGGCACAATCTCAGTTCCTTGTTTCACATAACTCCCCAAGAGTTCTTTCTTTGTCTCTGTGTCTATGAATGTGATCCTTTCCAGCATTGCCCAGATGATAATCCCCAGAGCAAAGATGTCAGCTTTTGCCGTGTAATGTCCTTCCCAAACTTCAGGGGCCATGTAAAAATCTGTTCCACATGCTGTGGAAAGGAAACACTTGTTTACACTGACAGGTTCTTCTGGGTTCTGCCCAGAGGCTGAACAAACTTTACTTAGACCAAAATCAGCCACTTTGAGTGTAGGTTCCAAGTCACTGGTATCCAACCTGGTTTGAGAAATCAGGATGTTATCAGGCTTAAGATCACGATGGATGATCTGATTTTTATGCAAGAAAGCCAGGGCACTGCTCAGCTGAAGCATGAAGCTGGTGTTAGTTTTACGATTGGGTTTCCTGGACAACAGATACTCATTCATATCTCCTCCGTCACAAAAATCCATCACAAACCACAAATAATAGGCGCTTCTGGGATCAAAGGCAATTTCTCCTTTTAATGAAGTTTCTACAAGCTACAAGAAGGAAAACAAGATTACAATCATCTGCATAGGTTATGTAATTCAGTTATAGGAAAATAATTCAAAGGTTAAGTCAGTCTCCACCATTAAGTGGAAACTCTATATGAATATTTAACCAGTGCTTGCTTTCTTTTTTCATTTCTTTTTTTTTTTTTTTTGGTGAGACAAAGTCTTGCTCATCACCCAGGCTGGAGTGCAGTGACACAATCTCGGCTCACTGCAACCTCTCCCTCCCAGGTTCAAGTGATTCTCCTGCCTCAGCCTCCCAAGTAGTTGGGATTACAGGCGACTGCCATCACGCCCAGCTAATTTTTGTGTTTTTAGTAGAGATGGGGTTTTACGATGTTGGCCAGGCTGGTCTTGAACTCCTGACCTTAAGCGATCTGCCCACCTCGGCCTCCCAAAGCACTGGGATTATAGGCATGAGCTACCATGCCCAGCCTAATCATGCTTTCATATATGCATTTTATTTAAAACAAAAAAAATGCTTCAAACTGTCATTTTGTCCCTGATGAATATACACCAAAGCTCTAAGCCAAGAGGTAAAAATTTTAAAATAATTTTATTTTGAAAAGTGTCCATCCAAGCGGCCACACATTTTCTCCATGCTGCAGTGGAGCTGAACTCTACCCACCTAGCTTACAGCTTCATGAAAAGACCAAAGTTTCAGCAGACAGAACTAGGAAATTGCCAGCTGGGGTATAAACCTCAATTAGGAAACTCTATTCAGTGAAATCACCTGAAACATACTTCTTACTCATTGCACATACACTATCAACATAACCTGTGAAATCGAGAGAAAAATGTTCAAGGAACAACTAGTTGTTGCAGAAATAACCATTCCTGTAGTCACTAATAAAATAAAGACTGACACTGTTACTTCATAAACTTCTATAAGCAGAATGCAAATATGTTGGCTATCTCTTTCACTGGATGGCTTTTAAAAACTAATTTATAAAAATCAAATATGAATTTAAAAAATTTTTTCATTTTTGTTTTGTTTTTAAATATGCATTTTGATATAAAAAATCAACTCTGAATTCATATATTTCTTCTTTAATACAAGCTGAAAACCTAGACTACATCACAGTTTTATTCATTATTATCATCTAATTATAATACTTCTTTACTTGAAATTCAATGGTATTACTTCACTGGACATGAACTATCCCTCTAAAATACAGTATACAGTCTTTTAAAAGTATTTGTTGTATGATGTCCTTTTCAGACCTATGAGTTAAACAGAAAAGGCCAAAGAGCTGCTGAAGAGTGAATGAATTGCTAATTTCACATTTAAATTCCTCTAGCATTTGGGCAAGCAGAAGCAAAGAACATCCCTTCACACCATCTCTCCACATGGCAGACAATAGTAATTGCAATGATCTGCAGACACCTCTTTGGCATGAGTTTTCCTTGTTGCATGTGTTTGCCAGTGAGACAGAAAATGAAAGAACAGGTACAGATCACATAATTATTTACCAGGTGCATGGATGTCTTTACTCACTTTTTTTTTGAGCTGGAGTCTCACTCTGCTGCCCCGGCTGAAGCGCAGTGGCAGGATCTCAGCTCACTGCAACCTCTGTCTCCCAGGTTCAAGCGATCCTCCTGCCTCAGCACCCCCGTAGCTGGCATTACAAGCATGTGTCACCATGCCCGGCTAATTTTTGTATTTTTTAGTAGAGAAAGGGTTTCACCATGTTGGCCAGGCTGGTCTTGAACTGCTGACCTCAAGTGATCCACTCGCCTCAGCCTCCCAAAGTGCTGGGATTTCAGGCATGAGCCACTGCGCCCGGCCCTATCTTTACTTCCAAAAGCAAACTTCCTAAATAGCTTTCAGCAATTTAGGAAGAGTCCCAGCATTCAAAGAATGGTTTAGAGTAAGGCCAGATAGTAAATACTTTAGGCTTGACAGCCACATAAATACCATATACTTCTTCCTTGCCTTTTTGTTTCCCCCACAAGTCTTAAAAAATATAAGAACTATTTTTAGCATCTAAACCATACGAAAACAGGCCCTTCAGACCATATGAAAACAGGCCACAGGGCCTCTGGTTGAGAGCTATGGGAATGCAGCGTCCAATCTGCTTATTTTAACATGCAGAAGACGTTAGCCATTGGTTTCCCTTACCTAAAGCCCTTCAATGGCTTCCACGTTCTTACTTAGGATATAATCTAAACTCTTTAACATGGGTTATGAGATCTTGAGTGCTCTGACTCCTGCTGACCCTTCTAGCCTCACCTAAAACAACTCTCACTATCTCACTACCTTCTTTCAGTTTTTAAACGCTTCATGCCTTTTGCTTCAAGACCTTTGTATATAGTTTTTTTCTGCCTAAGAAATTTTTCCCACTTATCTAGCTAACTCCTCTTCACACTACAAATATATATATACACACACACACACGCAGTGTGTGTGTATATATATATAGTGTGTGTGTGTGTGTGTATGTGTGTGTGACAAGGTCTTGCTCTATCACCGAGGCTGGAGTGCAGTGACACAATCATGGCTCACTGCAGCCTCAACCTCCCAGGCTCAAGTGATCCTCCTGCCTCAGTCTCCTGAGTAGCTGAGACTACAGGTGTGCACCACCATGCCCAGCTAATTTTTTTTTTTTTTTTTAGATTGAATTTCACTCTGTTGTCCAGGCTGGAGTGCAGTGGTGCAATCTCAGCTCACTATAATCTCTGCCTCCTGGATTCAAGTGATTCTTCTGCCTCAGCCTCCCGAGCAGCTGGGACTACAGGCACCTGCCACCTCACCTAGCTAATTTTTCTATTTTTAGTAGAGACAGGGTTTCACTATGTTGGCCAGGCTGGTCTTAAACTCCTGACCTCGTGATCTGCCTGCCTTGACCTCCCAAAGTGCTGGGACTATAGGCGTAAGCCACCAAGTCCAGTCTGCCTGGCTAATTTTTTATAGAGAGAGGGTTTCACCACGTTGCCCAGGCTAATCATGAACTTCTGAGCTCAAGTGATTCACCTGCCTCACCCTCCCAAAGTGCTGGAATTACAGGTGTAAGCCACCGCACCCATCCAACAATTCGTAACTCTTGAACCACAGGATTATGTAGGTTTCCCTGTTATGTGCATCCTGTACTTCTCATTCATGACATTTACCACAAGTATACAGACTGGCCACTAGGTTCCTCTGCATGAGATTGTAACCTCTGTTATTGTTTTACATTTTCTTCTAGGTGAGGCTTTTGGCTATCAGGAACTGATTTAATGCTTCCAACCAAGAACAAGGAAGCAGACATCTGGAAAAACATGGACAGAAATTAAAATCTGTATGGAAAATACTATGCATAGGGACTCTGTAGTCATACTACAGATTTGTCTTTACTAAATGTAAATATTGGATGTCTTTACTAGATGTAAATTTAGAGAACGCACTTGCTAAATGTGTTGATGAATGTCTGGACAACTAAACAAATCCATAGAAAAGACAATTTTAATAGAGAAACCAATTACTGAGTACTCGCATGTACCAAGTATTGCTTCTGCAACATCTCTAATTTTGACAACTCCTATACAAAGTAGATATTACCCCTTATCTTAAATATGAAGAAACAGATGCTAGGAAGAGTTGGGTTATTTACCCAAGGTCATTCAGCTAGCGAAAAGTATCACAAGTGAAACACAGGTCTACCAGGCTTTAAAAGATGAAAGAGATTTACTAACAAAAAGGTACTTTAGATAGAAAAAATAACTATAAGCCAGGCGCAGTGGCTCACGCCTGTAATCCTAGCACTTTGGGAGGCCAAGGTGGGTGGATCACCTGAGGTCAGGTGTTCAAGACCAGCCTGGCCATCATGGTGAAACCCCATCTTTATAAAAAAAAAAAAAAAAAAAAAAAAATCGGCCAGGCGTGGTGGCTCAAGCCTGTAATCCAAGCACTTTGGAGGCCGACGTGGGCAGATCACGAGGTCAAGAGATTGAGACCATGTGTAAAACCCCGTCTCTACTAAAAAATACAAAAATTAGCTGGGCGTGGTGGAGTGCACCTGTAGTCCCAGCTACTTGGGAGGCTGAGGCAGGAGAATTGCTTGAACCTGGGAGGTAGAGGTTGCAGTGAGCTGAGATCGTGCCACTGCACTCCACCCTGGCGCCTGGCAACACAGCGAGACTGTGTCTCGAAAAAAAAAAAAA